GTTTGGTGTCCTCTTACGGTCATGTTCAGCTCCGTAGAGAAACAGCATCCGGAGTCGATGATCAAGGTATGATCATGACCTCTCAGCGATAACCCCTTTTAATGCAAGCGCCCTTACTAGTTTGCACACCAAGCATAAGTCCAACAAGGAAGAGTCTAAATTGCTCCTATATTATCGCTGGCTCACAACCCTAGATTCCTCACAAATCTTGTCTTCTATATCTTGATGCTCGTTAACGCTAACAATAGAATAGTTATATAGCTCTATGATTATACCAAGTTTCGCACTTCTTTATCATAAAAAAATTAGTTCTGGCCCCGTTGATGTGGTTATGTACAAGGTCGACTCGACAATCGCTACACGGTTTTGCATAGAGACGAAGACATACTACTTGCTTGAATCGCCTCTTAGATTATGAAAGCTACTACCTCTTGGTATAATGCAGGCATCTGCGATGAGTGCTCTAACCTCAATACGTAAGGTTAATGGTTTGAGTTGGAGTACATGACTGCTCGGTACATCATTTGTGTTGGCTCGATGTTTCGTCAATCTAAGTAGTTTGTGTGATGTACTCTGTACTCTTTCATAGGGACATCATCCAAGATGAGAAATTATTTGACATCGAGGTTGAGTATCTGACTTGAAGCATTGCTAATTTATTCTCTAGTTATCCTTGGGGCGCGTTTACTGGTCTTGGTGTTCTTCAGACAAGCAATTCAGACTGATATTCTGGGTTTTGTCTATATATTCTGTTCAAGATCCAACCCGAGAAAGAGCGTCCCCTCCAAGGGAGTCTCATAATAAGGAGCTATTTCCACGAATCCCACCCTCTTATATAACTGTATGGCCCCTATCATTGAGGGAAGGGTGTCGAGTATCATCATCTTATAGCCGAGATCCTTCGCCCTCTCCACGATGGAATTCACCAAAGCTTTCCCCAGTCCTGTTCCCCGTGCTTCGGGAGAGACATACAGCCTCTTCATCTCACAGTATCCTCTATGGCTTTGAATATCCCCTTGCATTTCTACCGACCTCTGCTTGAGAGGCCGAACAGCCACGCATCCGATCGGGATACCCTCGTCGGCACTATAAGCTAGTAATAATACCCCATGGGGCGCCGCATATTTCCCAGGAAGGGACTGTAGCTCGGAGGCGAATCCTTGGAAGGTAAGATCGAGACCTAGCCATTCGGCATACGATGTGAAAAGTGCTTTGGCTGCTTCGAAATGTTCTGTGCTATGCGCCGGGGTAATTCGAAATGGTGGATTGTTGCTCGTCATTGTAGTTTGATATTCTGAATGGAAATCTCAAAACGCCGGCCAATCGCGGGGGTTAACTTGGGCCCGAAGGAAAGGAGTGCTGTATTGTCACTGGTGGAATGGGTAGCCGATATTCTTCAACTCAGTGGCCTCGGTTTTTGGGCTCAGATCTCACAATTTTGTGACCTGTAGCATCATCTTCTCCATAGCTATACGGAGTACCTCAGCACGGTTTTCCGGTGTCGGACGGTGCTATGACTCAATCAATCGGCACATCCGTCTTGCGGTTATCCGCGGACGAGGCAGGATTGCAAATACACTTGCCAATGTGAAGGAGAAAAACACAAACTTGTGTTTCTTGTTGCTTAATGTGTTTGGGAGGAGCTGGCATTTTAATAGGCAGCCTCAGGCTGTCAAGGCAGCAGAGAAAGCTCACGCGACACCACGCTTACTCCATTCACGTTATCTTGGACTCTCACCCCATCCATCTTTTTCGGACTCGCCTCATCATATTTGCGAAAGTTTCCTCGTCAAAAGATCTAATGATGACTTTTTAATCGCAGGCGCTTGCGAAGATATGACAAGCATCTCCCTTTTTGCGTATGCAGTCCTCATGAAAATGTAGAGCCCACACAGTCATCGCTCTTTGTGACTTGGTTGCTTTACGTTGAAACAAGTGTCGATTCGTTACAATTCCCAGATTCTCAGACAGAAATCTGGGACTTGAATGTTACTGAAAATGTCACACATGGATTTGTTTATCATGTTCTGTCTCCGATCGTGAGATAGAAATTGCTGATTCCCGATGAAATGCCAGCTGTTAAATGCGTGCCCCCCCTCCTCGTTGGTTCCATAGCGACCGAAGGACGGACCGGTTGCTCGTTGATCACTCGTTCGGAAGATGAGGATGCCTTCTAACTACCGTGATATTCGGTGACCACTGCTTCGGTTGACACATTCGCATATACAGTCAGACGTGGGGGCATGATTCTTCGCTATCTCGCTGCAGTCATCTCGTTGCATGTGAACCCACAAACTGGTCTCGGCGAGAGCTGTTGATCGCTCTGGCCTTTGCTCTCAATATTATTGCGCCAAGTCTTTTATTGAAAAAATCGCCCAAGAAGTTGCATGCAAGAGCGAAGAACACAAATCTCTCTGTTACTGTGATTGCCAAGTTTTGCATCACTTGTTCTCTCGGAGGTCGAATGGCCATTTTTGCCTAACAGCGCATTGTCACACAAATAACCTCCAATGAAATTGTATTCTTATGGAACCATTTGATTCGTCTTTTCTTCTCCCCGCCATTCTGTTTTAGCTCGCTCTTCGACCGAAGCTAAAGGGCGGGCCGATGTTTTATTCGGCCCTTCACATCAATTCGACAGACACGTGTACCTGACGGTTTAATTAAAAGAAGATGTGCAGGGACATAGTGCTCGTAAACTCTGGCGAAGCAGGATGCGAGTACGAATGGTGCAGTTGGCCGATGCAACGTTCTGATACATGGTGCTGAAGCAATCGTCCGCGATCGACATTGCCCTGATTTTTCTGTCCACTCCTATGCTTTCGACCGAAGGCGCCCCGACGGCATCTGGGTTGTTACTCCAAACCCGCGAGACGTTCTGCAATTGGCTACAAGCTCTCGGGGGTCGATATTTAGTGGCTAACGGGATCAGGAGATTTGCGGGTCTTGACGGTCTTGTCCGATCCTCATTGCTTTTTATTATCGGCTGGTCGATTCTATCTCCCCTCAAATCAGGTCGCTCTTATCATGACATGTGCCGTTATCAACAGTCAGTGGATCGAAGCGAAGTGTTTCCTTGCTAATCAATAAACACGCTTGTTTTCTTGGTCTTTGTAGACCACATGGGGCGCCTGCTAAATAAATAGGCGCAATACCTGCCTCTCCCATTGCCATCTCTTTTCATCATCTCCCGCTAGGGCTTGTATCCGTTGATTCACCTTGACGATGCTTTCCACACCTTCCCTCCCATCTATGGGCATGCTCGCCCTTAGCGCCATGCAATTGGCTGCAGGTGCAGTGTTTGAGTTCCCGTCCTGCCTGAAGGATACTCCCTTCAGCTGTCAGAACTCGGCCGCAGTAGCCGACTCCTGCTGCCTCAATTCGCCGGGAGGTGCCCTCCTGCAGACACAGTTCTGGGACACAGATCCTCCAGCTGGTCCCTCCGACTCCTGGACCATCCACGGTCTCTGGTAAGTGCTGAAACCATCATACACGGTGCGTAAAACTAACAATATCTAGGCCTGATAACTGCGATGGCAGCTACGAGCAATACTGCGACAAGTCGCGGGAGTACTCGAACATCACCGCAATTATTCAGGAGCAGGGTCAGACCGAACTTCTGTCCTACATGAAGAAATACTGGCCCAACTATGAGGGCGAGGATGAAGAATTCTGGGAGCACGAGTGGAACAAGCACGGTAAGCATCAATTACACTACAGGCTGTAGGCGCCACTCTAAGGCTCGTCGATTGCTAACTCCGTGTATCAAAAAGGTACCTGCATCAACACCATTGAACCAAGCTGCTACAAAGATTACGCCCCGCAGAAGGAAGTGGTTGATTATTTGGCGAAGACCGTAGACCTTTTCAAAGGTCTGGATAGCTACAAGGTTTGTCATATTTCTCCTTTCTTCGTTTATCTCTTCTCTCTTCCCGCTCTCTTCGATCACTACCTGCCTATTTGTCTCCTTTGATCTTCTGAAACCATGCCTAACAATCACAGGCTCTCGCCAAAGCCGGTATCGTCCCCCATGCCTCCAAGACCTACAAACGGAGTGAGATCGAATCTGCTCTTGCTGCGATTCATGATGGCAAGAAGCCCTATATCGGCTGCAAAGACGGTGCGCTGAACGAAATTTGGTATTTCTATAACACCAAGGGCAATGCGATCACCGGCGAGTACCAGCCAATTGACACTCGTAAGTGTCTCCAGTCTATGCGTTATTATATGTCGTCAAGTGAGCTAATTCGATGCCAGTTACGTCTACTAAATGTTCCTCCTCTGGTATTAAGTACCTGCCCAAGAAGGGCGGGAACTCCACCGCGCCAGCCTGGAAATTCCGTAGTGGCAAGGCTGGCCAGTCTGTTCACTTCAACTAAGATGTTTAGAAGATGAAAGTTGTATGTCCTACAAGTATTGCATGTCTACTGGAGTGCTAGGTTGTGCAATGATGTATGTACATAATTATTACGAGACTTTGATATATGTGGAGCTATGTGTACTTGTCACAATGCCCTTGCAGTAGTTTGTTCAGTTTTGGTACTCTCGCGGTGTACCTGTGATGAATCGTACTTGACGCGATGCGAGACCTCAAGGCCATCAGCTTGATACAGCTGGTCTCTTGAGTTTGTGTCGCTCCGACCAAGGGATGACTGTCCGGAATGAATTGGACGTCCCTATAAGTGTATGGTAGCAGCATGTGCGATACGTGCGTCTTACTAGTCTGGGCTGACTACCACCGCTCAACAGCAGCAGGCGACGCACACATGGAGATCCTTCGAGCTGATGGTCAGCGAGCTCATCGCCCATATGAGCAACGAGGGCTTAGGTATTCATTATACGATCCCATGGAACGTCTCATGTATACCGATCTTCGTTCGAAGCTGGAAAGGGCAACGCAAGTTGAATGGACCCGGCATTTAGTCGTGTTGAATATAGCAAAGCAGCAATCCGGACCAATCTGTACGCACAAAAGCGAAGAAAAAGGTTCGACAAGCCCTTTACAAGCCCTTCAAACGCGCGTTTCTTCTCTCTTCCTCTTGCTTGGCACCAACACGATCCAAGAAATCCATACGACCAAGGAAACCCTCCTTGGCCTTGCTGTGGGTTCTGAGCTCGTCCTTGATGCCGGCTTGATCGACGTACGCAGCCCAATCCAAGCGCGACTTCTCGACGGTGTTGATCTTGGGACCACGAGCATTCTCTTCTCCTGTAGTTTCCGCGACAGGCTGCTTCTCCCAGCTCTTTTTGATAGATCCAGTTGGGTTCGGGTCAAAGCGGGAGACCTTTCGAAGGGGTCTGCGGATTTTGATAGCTTCTTTAGAACCTGCGGCGTTCTCGGCGGCGGTCACTGTTTCGACTTCCTTTTCGTTGGCCATATAAAGCTTGGCCTCCGCTGAATCTTTAGGAACGATCTTTTCTTCCGTAATCCATTCGCCCGCAAATTTGTAAGTACGCTTGATCTTCACCATCTCCTCCGAGTATTGACTCGCTTGTCGCTTTTCCTCAGTGACGGGGGTTTCGCCATCACGCATCTCCGCGTCTTTGTTCTCTTCGACCGGGGTATCGTTCTGCTTCTCTGCCTGCAAGGGGGGGAGACCCGGGGTCGTATCAGGGGCATTCATCTTCTCCCACAGCGCATCCACGTCGACAGTTGCTCCATCGATCTTCGCGAGAGGCTTCCGCTCTTCCTGGCTATACAACGGCAAAGTCAGTACCAATCGGACGCAACAACGAAAAGAAGAAGGGGAGCGCACGTTCGCATCTTCATGGCTCGTGTCCGAACGAAGCCGCCAGGGCCACCCTCATCGTCGTCAAAATCGACATCATCCTCATCATCTTTTCCTTTCTGCTTCTTCGCCTTCTTTGCCTTGGCCTTTTGAATCGTCACTTCGTCGCCCGAGTCGAGACCGTTGTCTTCCTGCTCCGGTGCCTTCTTTCCCGTCTTGCGCTTTTTGGCCGCGGGTTCTGTGGCCTCCTCGTCGCTATCGGAACCGGTGAGGCCATCGTCGTCTCGGGCCGCGTCTACTTGGAAGTCTTCGTCATCGGCGGAGTCGTACTGCTCGTCCTCGAGGTCGAGGTCCTGTAATGTAGCTGGATCGGCCAACATGATTCTCTGGCCTGAAAGAGATTTCTTTCAACTGAATTAGAATGAGTCGCAAAGTATAGGAAAGGCGATACTCATACAGGCGCGAGAATGGAAGAAATTCTGCCAGGGCGGTGAGATATTAACTGTCGACTGGACCGTATAATCTATTCCAGCCAATCAGGGTTGAGCCGAGGTGTCTGATATGAAGGTCGATAAGCAGACTAGACATGATCAAGTCCAACTTCACTTCGGCGCCTTTCATGCTTCTTCGACTGATTTATCAATAATAGGTCTCTATGGCACAATACCATTCAATATGCCATCCCGATCATCTGGAGCCGCTTGAACTCGAAATTCTACACCGTCGGGATGCCTTTGGTCTCCCGCCTAAAGTTGTCCAGGATACGCTTGTAGACGTATTCTTCAAATGGATAGCGCCAATACTGCCGGTGGTAGACCGTCATGCTTTCATGAGGCAGTATAACAGCGCGGAAGATCTACCGTCAATTCTACTGCTACAAGCGATGCTCATGGTTGCATCTCGATGCTCTACCAACCAGCAGGGCTCAAAAGAGTATACCGTGTCGCCGCGCACGTTCTATAAGAAAGCTAAGGCACTATATGACGCTGGTTATGAAACCAACCAGATAACTGTCATTCAATCTGTGATCTTGCTAGGTGCTTACTGGGAAGGTCCTGACGGTATGCCTTCACAGTCACCTTGGTTCATCTTTCAGTAGTGTTGACTGCTCAAAGATCTTACTGAAAGTGGAATATTCTACTGGAGCCGGCTGGGTATTGCTTTGGCACAGGAGCTTGGACTACATGAGAGGTAAAATCCCCAATCAGTGATTTTGAATCCGAACTAAGTGAAACAGTGAAATATACACTGACCTCCAACCCTCACAACGAGGCCTCCGCAAACGGATATGGTGGACATTGTATACCCGAGACCGCTCCGTGGCTGCGGCGTTTGGCAGGCCATTGCATATTAATCCAAGCGACTGCACAGTAGAGCCGCTGACAGAGAGTGACTTTGTCGAGCATGATGGAGATGCTTCATCTGGGCCGAAAAGTGAAGTTCAAGCTAGGTTCTTTATGGAGTATGTCAAACTCTGCCAACTTATGGATCTAGGTTTATGCTTGAATCTGTCGGCAAGATCCACTCAAGCTGCCAGGAGTGTCGGAGCTGCGCAATGCGAGCTTGGTTTGAATGAATGGCTCGTAGCTTGTCCGCCAGAGCTACATTGGAGGCAGACGCGCCACACATTTCTGTCAGCGATACTATTCTCCACATTCTAGTAAGTTGTCTATTGCCTAGAAAGCTTGTGGTGTGCTAACAGTGTCCAGCACAATCGTATGCCAGTTGCATTTACTGCAGGCCCCGTATTCATCCAAGGAATCACAGAGCTCGGCGTTTCACGCTGCGTCGACCATAGTTTCAATCCAGGAGACGCTTCTCTCGCATAATGAGCTTCAATACTCACCTACGTTCGTGTATGCTGTCCGTGCACACTCGTATCATATTACATTTTCCTAACAAGTATACAGAATCTGTCACGCCGTAACGTCCATCGTTACCTTGAAACATCAAATGGATGCTTCACTACCATCTCTCCTACATGGTATCAGACTGAAACTGGAATCCAGTCTCGAAATACTGGAGGCATTGTCCAAGACATGGCCCATCGCAACGCTATTCTTAGAATTCTTCCAAACAATGACAACTCCAGAGCATTTCAACAGACTCCTGTCAGTCGCTGTGGAAGATTGTCGCAAACGTGCACTTGGGGACAAACCAGACGACCCCCAAGCACCACGGAGGCCAACATCCTTCAAACGGCCAAAGCTACAACAGGTTGTCCTTCCGCAGAGCAGGGTTGTATTCCAGATCCTGGCGCGAGAAACTCAGAGGCGACAAACGGCCTTGCTTCAGTCTCAGGGCTCGGATATTGCATCCCGTGGAGTAGGAGATGTGCGTTTTGGGTCTGTCTCTAGTGCTACTCCCGGTAGCGTCGATGGTATCGCCCAAGGCGGTCCTGAAGATACGCTAGAAAGCTGCGAGCCTACCGCGGTGTTGCAAAATCTTCGAGAGATTATCCGAATTGGGAATTCTCAGGGGACCGACAATGGGACCTGACTATCGGGGTGTTTAGAACTCAATTTACTTTGAGTGGTACATATACCTATTCGGAATGTATCTGAGAGCCGTATCAGTGGTCTTTCTTGGTGATACATTGGCGGTTATCAAACAAAGTTTGCGCTTCAATTGGGCTCTGGGCGCGAAAGTCCAAGCATGAATCGTCGCACATCAGTAAGGATCGACGGCATGACGCTTCTACGGCTATGCTTGAGTTGAGCGACGAAAGATTGCCACTGAAGGCCATCCTGAGAGGCAATGTGTGTCTTAAGCAACATTGGATCCTGACGCTGTTGTTTCCGCTCGTGCAAATTACAATCTGTTTTTGGTTGCTAGGAAGGACGACAGGTGGACTTGGATCCCCTATCTTTCCAGACGACGAACCAAAACGAGCATCGAGGACAACTTTACAAGACAGGCTAGTAGAATACTGCACAGTACTTTTTCAACTGAGACGCCGTCGAAGTTCTCAAAATTGTTCGCATTGCCCTGGGCGATATTGAGAGGCCTAAAGTTTCTTGGAAGGTCTCTCGAACACCGGCTATTAGAGTAGGTAAGGTATAGGCAGTATTTCAGCTGCAGTAACACTCAAATGCAAGCCTTCAAAATCAAAGCGGTTAAAATTAGCGCGGTGAATATGTGACGATATCATGTATAGTCTAACTACTCGCCGTGGAGATTAATAATGTTGTTGTATGGGCCGAGCCGAGCTCGGGTCGGCATCTAACAAATCGGTCAGGGATTCAAGAATGACAAACCAAGCCCACGTCCCGAGGATAAAACTGAGGTGAATGGATCCCGGATTAAATAACTTACATTCCTTCCATGATCGTATATAAGTAGATTAGCTGCGCGACCTTGAGAGGAATCTACAATTGCCTACCACAAGACCACCAGTCAAGCTTCAACAATGACATCACCCAAACCAGTTGCCCTAGTCGTTGGTGCCTCGCGGGGCCTAGGCCGTCAAATCGCCATTGACCTGGCAAAGAACGACTACACAGGTAAGTCCTTCACAGTCGCCAATCAAGAAAAACAACAATTAATGAAACCCAGTCGTCGTGGCAGCCAAAACCACATCCAACGCCTATGAGACAGTCCCGTTCCCACCAGACCCCAACTCCAACAAATCAACCATCGCCACTGTTGAGCGTGAGATCAAAGAAGCCGGCGGCAAAGCCTTCGCGATCCAGGTTGATGTCCGCGATGTCTCCCAAGTCGAGAACATGGTGAAAGAAACCGTGCGTCTTGCGGGAAGACTAGACGTGCTTGTCTACAACTCCGGCGCAATCTGGTGGTCGTCTATCGCGAATACGCCCACGAAGCGGTTTCAGCTTATGCAGCGGGTCAACCCTGAGGGGTTGTATGCTAGCGTGCAGGCGGCGCTGCCTGAGTTTGAGAGGAATGGGTGGAAGGGACGTATTATTGTTGTGTCGCCGCCTATCTATTCGAGGTTTTTTAGGGGGAAGACGGCCTATGCCATGGGTATGTTGCTTACTGTCGGTATTCAGTTACGGTGGGAATATGTAATGCTGATACTCCGCAGGCAAAGTCGCGATGAGCGTTCTTACTCGTGGTCTTGCGATGGATTTTGTGAGACAGGGTCATAAGGATATGGCGATTACCAGTCTTTGGCCAGCTACGGTATGTCACTTCCCTACGGAAATTGGTTCTGGATTACGACTTATTTATGCAGAGCACCGAATCAGCTGCGACGGAAATGACTACGTCGAAGGACCCTTCTCGTAAAGCCGACCTTAGGAAGCCGGTATGTTCATTGACAGCATTCCTGTATCACATATCTAACCAGACAACGCAGACTGTATTCTCCGACGCCGTTATTGGCATTCTGAAGACACCTGCAGCGACCGTGAACGGAATGTTGGCGCTCGATGAGGACTTCCTACGCCAATACTGCGGAGTCTCGGATTTCTCGAAGTACTCGGTGGTCCCGGGTTCCAATCCACGACGCATCATGCCAAAGGAGCTGCCAGTGCTGGAAGTAGCCGAACAGGATGACGAGGGGATGAGGATGGACAGTACAAAGCTGCGGGCGAAGATGTAGATAGATTGAATTACTTTAGTAGCGTCGATATATATATCTTATTGAATTGTTTTCTATAGCCATTAAGTAATTCGCACGGAGAGCCCAGCTTACCATTGAATACATGATAAGAACCGTATAGATGAAGACCACACTGACTCAAGTTAACCTAAATATACCCCCCCATCTACTGCATCCCCCAAAATTACATCCAGTTAATCCATATACCCATCACGTTGTAAACCAGTACTGCCCAAGCCGACCCGCCGTCGGCCAAACGACCACCAAACATCCTCGGCATTTCATCCCCGCCGATAAATCAACAGCTTAAAACCTTCCCCATAACCAACCCCAAAGTTCAAACCCACCAACTAACTCCCCATATACTCAACACGAGAACCCAAAACAATGGGCAAGAAAATCGAATGCTACTTAGACTGCGGTAGGCCATTATACCAACAACCACCTTTGAATCTGAATCCATCGCTGATAGCAAGCACATGAAAAGTGTCGCCATACAGTTTCTACGCTTTCACGTATCTGCAGAAGAATGCCGCTGCGTTGGAGAGCCTGGACGTTGAGATTGAGTATGTAACATGTTATACTCTATTACTCTTTCCAATGCGCTGGATTGATACTGATTTTTGCTCGTAGGTATATCCCCGTCTTTCTGGGCGGGATTAATGTAGGCAGTGGTAGGTTTCTATACATTACACCTCTCTCTCTTTTTCACACACACATATATATATTTCCACTACCAACCGAAAGAGAAGTAAAACAACACCTCACTAAGCACGGAATTGGAAAATAAAAAGGAAACAAACCCCCCTGGACGCT